TAAAATAAAATAAAATAAGAAGAAGACGACGAAGAAGAAGCAACGGTGTCAGGATCACATTATGAACAGAATTTTATATTGAGAAGCAAATCAAGACTAGGAGACTGTCTAACCAAAAACAAATTATATATTGAGAAGCCTCAAATCTCTAAAGACAATAAAACATCAGAAGAAAATGACAAAAGAAATTGATGAACAGTGACTTTACGCTTAGTGCATCTTGCCTCCTTCGCTTGTGTTTATTTCTTAACATGGAGATGGGCAGGTCATCAGCACATTCCTGATCTCTGTTATCTTGAAGTTGTGGCTCCTACGAAACGCGAAGACCAAAACAAGATATGCAAGTATAATGTATTTAAAAATATATCATTAAGGAATTAGGTACTTTATCAGGCATCAGATATCTAAGCGAACAAGACTTCAAATTATGGAACCAACTCACTTCACAATTTTCTGAAGATATAATTCCTGGCTCCCCAAAATTGATATTCTGGAGATAAGCATGCAGCATCTCAGATATATCCACAACCTATAAAAATTCAAGAGAGGGAATCATGATCAACACTCAATATAGTATTGAAACATTTCAGATTAGCCTTAGAAATAATGGCACTCTTGATAGAGTTACCGGTGCTACTAGTTGAACAAATACCGCAACTACATATAGATGAAGGTGTATTTCCTCAGAAAAGGCATAAGCCACAAGTCTAAGGAAACACATAACGAGAGTTGAATTTAAGCCCACAAAAAGTAAAGAAAATGCATATAAGATCTCCAAACGAAAAATAACTGAATTTTTTAACACAGCCAACTACTGAATGCAACACCTACCAAATAGAATGTGCATTATTCAAGAATCTCTTCAATTGCCAAAATCTAATTTATGAAATCAAACTACACGAGACAGTCCACAAGCTAGATGATGTTAATTTATCCCACCTTTCTTGATTTACTTAGTCATTTTTATTTAGTAGGGGAGGATTAATGGAACAAAATGCTAGTATGAATATCTATGCTGGTATCATCAGCTAAAAAGCCTTTCAAATTTCATTTCGGGTCAAGATCCTCTCCTTTTAAGCGTCTCCTTCAGATGTCAAGTGCACTAAATACTTTCACTCCCTATGAAAGCTGCCTCACATGTTACTTCATTACATACCTCTACCCACTCTGCAGAAAACTCACAGAACGGCATGCGATAAATCTTCACTTGTCCTTCAGTTGTGCATACAGCAAGCAAACAACTGCAGAGAATGTAAAGATATACACAGTTGAATCAGTGACGAAAACAACACGTCATAAGCCTTATGAAGATAACTAAATACAACAATACAGAAACATTATAGCTGAGAAAAAAACTTATACCCTGAGTTGGGCCCCAAACCAACAGGAGACCAAGAAATTGACCTGACACAAGGACGAGTATCCCGTGATAAACAAACCGGTAGCAAGCAATCCGAGAGCAAATCTATCAACGTGTCAAGGAAAGTACAAGTCATGACCCATGAATCATGAAAATAATAGTTCTCTTAAAGTGTAAACTAGGATTAATACAATTATTATAGCCATAGAGGCTAGAACAGAAACTTACAAAACTTCAGCTGCTAATGTAAGTGAAACTATGGATTCTACGGTTAAGCTGAATGCATGTTAAGACGTTCACATACCTTCACGCTCAATCAACCCAATGGGAAAAGGCTTGCTGGCATTGATAGTCACCAGACCCCGAGGACCAAATGGTTTAGCCGGATTCTGTACTAGTTAGTAAGCATGTAAGAGCATGTTTCGTGAACGAAATTGAGGGCTATAGACCGCACAATGTACAAGAATTTACGTTCACTATTGAAGGCAGTTAGACAGCACAATGACAAGAAATTAACTTAATACTGTCCTGTATCCTCTATCAAACATGTATTGAATGATTCTATCACTGATTTTATTAACTAAGAGAATTACCAGTATGGTAACAATATTGCCAGAGGCTACTGCCACCAAATTTTCGTCAGACCACGCGACAGCATTTGGGTAAGAAGGTGATGCCACGAGCGAAGCAGCCTGGAACCGCGAGGACATTGTTATACAGAACTCCAACTCCAATCAACCTAGACTTTCGAGGAAATTTTGCAATTTTGAATATAACTGAAAACGAAAGTTCATAAAAAAATTCCAAATTCTTGTTTGCTCTCGACCGTATCAGTAATTACAAAAAGGGTTTAAATTAAGACGAAGAAGAATAGAAGGCAGATTCTTGGAAGAGAAGAGGGGGCAAAAGGCCTGTGCAATTCCTCGGTGGAGCATACACCAAGGCCCACAAGATGTGTTTGGGCTGGACTAGGCCAGACAAAAGCACTAAACCGCAATTCAGTCCGCTTCTGTTTAAATTTCACATACAAATAGATCTAGTGAAAATCTATAATCTATATATATTAAAATACCACATCAGTGAATAATCATTTTTTGGACGATTTATATCACATCAGTGGAGAATCATTTTTTGGACGATTTTAATCCTCTACAATTCAATTATTTCAATAATGTCTTACTTTTCATTTTTCGATATGTAATAAATACTATATAATTATTATCATTTATGAAATTTGTGATATTAATTTTCAATTAATTAACATTCACATTAACCAAAATTTAATGAATTTTCACTTGATGAATCTTGAATTATATAAATCTATAGTTATTAAAGATAAATTTATTCATATTCATGTATCCAGAAATTTTAATGAGTGTTTAAATTTATATATTAACAATTAATTTTTATGTATCGAAAGTAATATAAAAAGATTGCTCATTTATAGTATTTCATTTCATCATTACAAAAAAAATTTAATAATAAAAATTGACCTTTGAGAGTACAATTTGAGTATAATTTTCTTCTCTTAAATTCTATGCTAAATTTTATTTTCTCTAATTTGTCCGAGACACATCAAATCCTCCAACAAATTAGTATTAAATATTACTTTTATATCACTTATAAAGTATTTTAGAATAACTTGCAATACACGTTCAACTTTAACTAGTTAGTTTTTAAGTTATCAATTCAACTATAAGATTGAAAGAATTTCTGCTCAAAAATCAAATAATAATTATCTTTTAAATATTAATAATAATATTATGTGCCTATTTGTTTCCCATTTTTTTAATAAGAATGTATTTTAAAATAGTTAATTGATGAAAAATGTGTGATTAAAAAATAAAAAATAAAAATTTGTTTTACGTGTAATATTATTTTATTGTAGAACGTATGGTTAAAAAGAAACGAGAGAAAATTGTATTTTGAGAAAAATGAATATCAAACATGGGCTATAAAATTATAACCTATCCATTCCATCCCAATTTTACACTCAAACCCTAATTCATTTCACTGCCTCTTTTCTCTCCATCTTCTATCTTTAAACCTCTCTCTACTCACTTTTGGCACCAATCCCCTTAGTCTACTCTCCCATCATCTCAATTTTGACACAGGTCCCTTCTCTCTAACCGCCCATCATCTCTATTTCAGTGTTGATCCTGCTCTTCTTATAGTAGTGTCGTGTGATCATGGCATGCTATGCGCAGCATTGTTGCGCTCAACGATGGCATCATTGCCATATGCTTAAAGTAGTGCAGGGACATCATGATTGTTGGACCACCATCTATTGTGGATTTGAGAGGATCGTGGTGGTGATTTTTTATAAGGCCACCATAATGATGCAGTGGCGACGGTGGCGACGGCATCAAGTTTGGAAATTTGCTCATGGGTATGGTGGTTGGGGTGTGATGAAGATGATGGTTGTGATTCTTATACAAGAGGTGGTGCTGCTGCTATATTGATGGTGAGATGGTGATGGCATTGGCAGCGACGACGGTCTTTGTGTTGGTGTCGACACTGGTGATGGGTTAGTAGTTGAAAATGGTAGTTTGTTAATAGTTGTAGGATGGTTTTAAAGTTGAAAATGGTGCTTTGTTAGAGGTGGTTGTGCTTGTTGTGGTGCGGAGGTGATGCTTCTTTCGGTAAGTGCCATGGTGGATTGTGGTTAGGTGGAGTAAGTGGCGCGGTTAAGACCGTATGTGACCAATTATTTGAAAATGTAATCAATAAATTGGATATTTTGTAACAAATAAATTATACGTGACTAATAAATAATACGAGACCTTAAATTTTGAATATGACTTTAAAATTTTTTCAGAATTTTGTGATTTGTGATCGATAAATAAATTATGGTTATAATTTTTTTTTATTTTTAACCAATGAATAAGTTGCGAGCAATAATTTTTTTTATTTATGAATGTGAAATAATTTGTGACCTATAAAATTTTTTATTTGTCCAAAAAATAATTTGAGATTAATTAATTTAATAATTTGTGACAAAATAATATGATCTTAATATATTTAATTAATAAAATATATATTTAATTAACTATTTCATGAATATAATTTAATTGATATCTTATTTTAGAAGATTTTAAACCTTGTTTATTAGTTTTGAAATAGGTTATACTTAATCTATTAGATATGAAATTTTCTCATATATCTAATGGATCGCTGCATATTTAAGGTGGTTCAAATATACAAATTCAAAATTAAGAAATAAGTTTTGAAACTTCAAAAATCATATCATAATTAAATGAATAAATAAATTAATATTTTACTAGTTAAATATACTAATGTCATAATACTATACAATTTATGGTCACAGTTACATATTAAGCACAATTACTAAACGTTTCAATCACAAATAATAAATTTCAAAGGTTACAATTTATTGTGGATTAAAAATTATTAAAGTAATTGATCGTGTATTATTTTTCAATTAGAAGTCACAAATTTTATGAATCACAATTTATTTATCAATGATAAATGATCAAATTAATGTGAAATATTAATTTTTAATCACAAATTTTATATGTCACAACTTATTTCATGTTCATAAATTATCAAATTAATTAGTCACAAGTTATTTTTCGATCACAAATTATCAAATAATTGCTTACAAATTTAACATATTGTGAGTCACAATTACAAATTTATTTACAATCTCACATTTTAGTCATTTTATAAATCACATATCATTTATTGATCACAAATTAACCTAATTGTTGGTTACAAACATCCAAATAGTTGGTTAACCCACCCCACCCCTGCCCACGCCAATTAGTTGGTCACACACTCTTCGCTCGAACTCCACCACACCCTAAAACCACCACCGACACCAGTAGTTGGTCACAAATTAACCAAATAGCTGGTCGCAAACACTCATCATTCAATCCTACCCCATTTTATTACCTAGCACCAACTAAACGCCTCGCCACCACCTACACACTACTCCAAGCACCACCACCTCACCATCGTTGCCAACACCACCTATACCCGTACCACCACTACTAGCACCAGTACCATTACCTCAACATAAATGCCACCACCACTACCGCCAGCACCACCACCACTACCACTTTAACTATACCACTACAACTACAACTTCAATTGTACCACCACACAAAATTGGCTTCCATACATACAGAAACTGTACACATACACCACAAATCAATCATCACCACAACTTGCACAAACCACCACCGTCACCTTACCACCACTGTAGCCACACTACCAACAACCATCACCACCACGACATCGCATCAACAACCATCAATTGCACAGCAAACTAGATGAAGTGAAAACAGAGGTAAATTAGAAACAAACCTATCGTCACTATCACAAAGGCGATGGGCGCTAATGCATTGTCGCACTTGCAGCCACAATGGGCATCGCGTATCTCACATAACGTCGTCATGTGGAGCAGTGTTGTAACACCCCAAATTTTCATAACACCGGAGCATTACCAAAAATTTATTTTTTTATTTACTTTACATTCAAAAAGCTCAAAATAAAATTCTTTAATAAATAATAACTGCGACATTCATAAATTTAACGTAAACATAGCAATCGTATCTGATAACAATAAACATGTCTTAAAATAAATCAACAAATAATTACAAAGGTAGAAAAACTTAATGAAAATTTATTCTCTGTTCTTACGATCCTCTTAGCAGCCCACATCACCACCCCACCACAAACCCAATCGACCCAAAATAATCTGTAAAAATCTATAAGAGTGAGTATTCAAAAACACTCAGTAAGATACGTGCAGTTTCCGTATACAAATATATAACAATAAAAATTACACTTCATACCATTCTGATCTTATGGAGTATATCGGTGATCAAGTGACACATTCATCTTAGATCCTCTTATAATCCCGTAGGATTTCATATCTCTTAAAAAAACGAATGTCTACGGGCAATCCATGCATATTTAATTGAATATAAAAGTATAAGGAAATGAAAACACTTGCACATAAAGTATATTACCTCGCTAAATAAAATGAACTATTGAACAAAATATAAATGCACGTGCCCAAAATCTTTTCAAAGCTCTAATGAATAATGGTTGCAAAATGAGTTCTTGTCTTCTAGTTCCCAAAAGTAACCCCCCTCTCTCTTTCTCTCTCTCACGTGTGTATAAATCTTGGTGTGGTGAAATATGGAACCACTGTATAGTATTTATAGTAATAAAAAGTGGTGGAGTTATAATAGAAAATATGTACCCTATTGAATAAAACATAGTTTACATATTTTGATTATATTTTAATAACAAATTCATAGTTATCAAAATAGGATACTAGCTATCACATCAAATTCAAAATAGGTTAGTATTAAACTAAAAATAAAATTAAAATTCAATACCCAACTCATACATTTTGGGAGAGAGAAAATGAATTGATTTATAATTTATATAAAATTCTATTTATCCTATTTTCTTTCAATTGGGTCTAACTTAATGTGCTTTTATCCAAAATAATTTTTTCTCGAATCAAAGACTTCAAATTAATTATGACCGATAAAATGAGTTCAATATCGATATACTAAATCTTGCTCTAACAATATCTAATTATTTGGAACAGATAAAATAGAAATTTAAAATGTTTTTTTTTTCATTTTATTCCTCAACTTTCAAAATATAAATGTATAATATATAAAATAAATATATTTTATTCTAAAATTTTGGGGGTTACAAGTGTTGCAGCATATGACGTGCGACATAACTACACCTATTGCAGGTCCCAATGCCCATCGCCTTTCTAGTCTATGAAGAGGGGAAATACATGAAAATAACCTATAGAAAAGGGTCATTTTTCCAAAATTACCTTCGGTCAATTTACATACCTAAAATACCCTTCATTTATA